TGTACAAATGCGCTTTACACAATTGATGTGTGTATGGATTGTGATAAGAGTTGTATGAGCCCCTAATAAAATGATTAAAAAAGAAAGAAGAAAGAAGTTTTCACAAACTGCCAAATGTTCCGCACCAGGAATGTGTGCAGCGTTGGTTCATCTGTGACTGTGGTTTAAACAGGGCCTATAGGTCTAGTTAAGGAGCCCTCGTGGCCCTGTCGGGGGAATACTAGACTGCTAATCACAGGGTTGGCAGTTCCAACCCACCAGCTGCTCAGGAGGAGGAGAAAGATGGGCTATCTGCTGCTGCAAACATGTCCAGTTCAGAAACGATGCTTTGGAATGGACTCAATGGCTGTGGGTGGGTGGGACCAGCTAGGAAACGGGATTGCAGTTTTCTATGTCAATGTTCTAATAAGTATGAAAAATCCCTCAGTGGTGCAAACAGTTGGCGTGCTTGGCTGCTAACTGAAAGATCGGAGGTTTGAATCCACCTACAGGGGCCTCAGGAAAAAAAGTCTATCTGTCTCTCCCCAAAGCAGCCATGACACCCCCTATGGAGCACAGTTCTACTCTGAGATGCAGTGTGGTGGCCATGAGTCACAGTCGCATGCGGTTGAGTAGACGCACTGCAGTTGAATCTAGTCTGACTCATAGCAAGCCCACAGGACAGGGTAGAACTACCCCCGTGGGTTTCTACAACCATAACTCTTTATGGGATTAGACAGCCTGATCTTTCTCCCATGCAGCTGCTACTGGTTTCAAACTACTATCCTTGAGGTTAGCAACCTGACTTGTAACCCCCTATGCCACCAGGCTCCTGATGGCCACTGGTACTGGTAATAATTATGAAGAGATTATGGGGCACTGTAATGGCTAACAGTTATCAAACATCTCCCTTGGGCCAGGTACTGTTCTACTTGCTCTACATCGTATTGATGGCGATGGCAGCTAATACTCGAATGATTGGGCTTCCTATGGTACAAGCACTCTTCTAAATACTTTCAATACATCACGTCATCCTTATAATGACCCTAAAACAGTAGATCTAGTTTGAGCTCTATTTCACAGACAAGGAAAATGGGGTTTACAGAGATGAAGTCATTTGCCCAGGGCCACACGGCTGCATTAAACCCAAGAAGGATGATCCTTCGTGTCTGTGGCTTTTGAGTTTGTGGGGCCCTCCATTTCCTGCTCCCCATTTGGCCTAAAAGAAAAAAACTTAAATCTTCTGGGGACGCTAATGCTTGCCATACAGATGACCTCACGAGGCGGAGGCAGCTCTGTGGGCAGAGTAGGGTTTCCGGTCTTCTAATAACTCACTCTGCTTTCTCTAATCACTAAATCTTGCACACATCCGCCCAGAAACACACATCCCACCCCCACCAACTGCTGAGGGTAGAGGTCAGCCTCCAACTCATCAAAGCAGTTGAAGGACTCATGGTGCCGGGTGGGGGGTGGGAGGTGGGAGAGCCTGTGCGTTCTCAGTTGGAACCTCAAACACATCTGTCTGTGACCGCAGCGTGCCAGTATGTCACACAGTCAGAAGTTGCACGAGTGACTGGGGACCAATTTGGGCTCTGGTTCTTGGCTCCAACACTTGTTTAGTCTCTTAGGCACATTATGCAAGATACTTTGGCTGTCATTCCCTGCAATTAGAAAGCTCAGACAGTGGAGCAAATGGGCAGCCTGCTGTCTCTGAGTTTAGAAACTGCCGGTGCACACAGGTGACTCGTTCTCTCCTCAGACCGTGAAACATGGTCATAGTCACATGCTGCTGACTGGCAATCAGGGAAGCGTGACTCAGGGAGTCTATGAGCAAGACTCAAGTGAGGAAATTTGCTCCATTCCCTAGGCCATTCATTTCTGGCCATGAATCTTGTAGCCAACAGCTCTGAGTGGTGGCGCATGCCCATGTCTACGTCCCAGCTGTGCACACGCATGCTAGTTCAATTCTTTCTTCCCTTCAGTTGTTGAAGAGCCATTGTCACCTTCCGCCATCAAGTCTTCTTCAAAGGCTAAGCTTACAGGAGATCAGCCCTGAAAGGAGGGACCCAGGGTAATTCCAGTCCAGAGTCCCAAACGTATTTGGCCTTCCCGCCCCCTTTTCAGAAAAAATAAATTAAGATGACCCAGCACGCCGTTAGCAATGAAATACTTGTGTCCTACAGCCCATAAGCCAGGATAAATGTAGGGACCTGCTTTTTCAGCCCCCCCGCCCACTTGATCATTCCAGCACCATCCCCAGGGGGTGGCATCAACCACGTTGGGGAACGCTGTCTTTGCCCAACCATCTAAGCAGCATTAAGACTCAAATTGCAGAAGCAGCCTGATGAGGCACATACTGCATGGTTGTCTCTGAGACAAAGCCAAAACCCAGGCATCCCGGCTGCCAGGCAAAAGGGCCTCCCACTGCTCTACCACATGCCCTTCCCTCTAACAATAGACTATGCCTTCATAGGTAGAAATTTCCAGAAAACCCGGTGGGTCCTTTGGCAAAATGCTTCTCTTCCCTTGGCCTCAGTCTCTTCAATAAAATGATATAGTTGGAGTCAGTGACCTCTTGTGAATATCCATTGTGGCCAGATTCAAAACAAGCCACTCTCTTTTGATGGCTACCCACTCTTTTGTCACTTGAGATGTGCATATTCATAAGAATGGCCTCCTCTTTCCCCAGAGTCGAGGAACAGGCAAGCGATATTGATAGTCATTCCCTGACTGTAGACGTGCATGGGGCTTTCAATGAATAAGTATGACGAGACGCAAACAGGAGGGGCAGCTTTGTCATTAAAAGGCATACGTGGTCATTGAGTTCTAAGCCGCCTTTTCATGGAAGTAGCAGATAAGTGGCTTTCTTTCCCCACTCCCACTTTTTAAACAGTTTGCTTTTTCAGCGTCGAACACTGTGAGCACAGAGACCAGGGCCACTGTTGAGCCCACAGATGGTCAGTCTGGTGACGCCGTTCCCTTTCTCGTGATGAGAGGGATAGTCGTACGTGCATGAGCCACGTGGTCTATTTAAATCTTTATAAACTTCAACCAAGATGAAAACAGCCAAAGTTTTAGCCTGGGTGGAAGGCTCAGGCTGGGTTGTTGTTTTTTTTTAAGGCTGGGTATTTTTAATCTGTGCTGTTTAAATACAGAGGCAGACGACGAACTAGGAAACCGTCCTGCTTTATTATTATTATTATTATTATTATTATTATTATTATTATTATTCAAGTCATTCAGTAACCATTTCACATCAATCGGTATGACGTTTTTCAAATGCCAAAATATTTGACATGCTCCCTCTCCCCTTCTAGTTCACCTTGACCCCAAGTGCCTTTTGGTTTGCAGATGTCTGCAACCCGGATCCTTCTTGTGACGAAGCCAGACCTCCCCCGGTGCAGTCTTACATGGACGCTGCGTTCCTTGTGGACGGCTCTCAGAATGTAGAGAGTGCTGAGTTTGAAGGCATCCGACTTTTCATGGGAGCACTGCTGGATCACTTCGAAATCTCCCCCGAGCCCTTGACCTCCGCCACGGGGGACCGAGTAGCCCTGTTGAGCCACGCACCCCCGGACTTCGTCCCGTATACTTGGAAGAGTCCCGTGAGAACTGAGTTCAACCTTACCACCTACAGCAGTAAGCGCCTCATGAAGAGGCACCTGGAAGAATCCATGCACCAGCTCCGAGGAGAGGCGTTCATCGGCCAGGCCTTGCAGTGGACTCTGGACAATGTCTTTTTCAGGACGCCCAACGTGAGAAAAAATAAAGTCATATTTGTGATCTCGGCTGGGGAAACCAGTCCCTTGGACAAAGAGACCTTGAAGAAGGAGTCCTTGCGGGCCAAATGCCAGGGCTACGCCCTGTTTGTGCTTTCTCTTGGCCCTGCTTGGAACGACAAGGAACTGGAAGAGCTAGCCAGTCACCCTCTGGATCACCACTTGGTCCAGCTTGGCCGCATCCATAAACCGGACCACAGATATGGTGTGAAGTTTGCGAGGGCCTTTATGAGCTCCATCAGGCGTAAGTCATAAAAGCTGTGCTATTGTGAACATGCGCAGTACCCTTGGTGTTCCCCAGAGAAGGCTTGGTGATGAGCAGCCATGGAGTCTTGAAAACCCCTTCTCTGTTTTCAAGGGGACTGCAAAGTCAAATGGAAAACTGCAGTGATGGGCACATGGGGTGTGGGGAGGCTCTGGTTCCTAAGCATTTCATTTTCTGGCTCATCTACACTTATAACAAGCAGCTGCTCACACATCTGTCTGCATGCAGCCCTGTGGTCTGGGCTACGAGGTCACCACGCAGAAACCCTGGCCTGGCGGCATTAGCACGCGCAGCCCTGCAATGGGAGGTTTCATCCATTAACACGCCAACACCAGGAAACATAAAATGAAACAGAGGCCTGGGCTTGGTTCTTACACAAGTGCTGAAGGCAGCGTTTCAAGTATTCGCAGAGACATTAGACTGGTCAGGATGAAAGAGGCAGCTTCGCAGAGTCCTGGGTTTTGTTAATGGCTTTTTACGGTGCCAGTGATGAGGGTGATTGTAACTGGTACCATAAAACAAAACCTACGCTGTGTTCCTGGGATTGAGTTTGCCAGGAAACGACAGGATCCACTTCAAATGCAAGCAGACACATAACAGGAAGTTAGCACTGGCCCTGAGGGTTGGAACGCATTGGGTAGGATTTCTGAAAGGGGTCCTGCTGGCGCAAACAGTTAAGCACTGGGCTACTAACTGAGAGGTTGCGGTTGTAACCCCCTCACCAGTTCGGAGGGGGAAAGACCCGGTGAACTGCCAGGCACAGGTGACACTCAAACAACTCAGGGCCACCCAAGTCCATGCCAACTCCCAGCACCCTACAGGGCAGGCTGGCATTGCCCCTGTGAGTTCCCCAGACTTCACCTGCAAAAGGGAGTAGAAAACCCCATCTTCCTACTGAGGAGCGATTGGGGGTTTTGAATTTCGGACCTTGAGGATCTCAGCCTGCTGTGTAACCAACCCTTACTAGCCCCCAGGGCTCCTAATAGGTGAAGATGAACGGTTAGGAAACTCCTCAGGGTGATTCCACTCTGTTGCATGGGCTCACTATGAATGAGAAGTGACTCAGAACTTAACACCGACAGGGTTTCTGAGTGTGTCAGGGGTGAGCGAGCCCTGAGCATGGTCACTCCCTCCTGGGAGCGCTATTCTGACGCTCCCTCTAAATCGCTGTGGCTCTTATCAAATATCCGGCCGAAATCGAGCTTATCCAGCACAGCCCACACCAAACCAACACGTGCCAACAAAGAGCAAAAGTGCGGGCAAGCAGCCTGACGCCAAAGCAGAGAAACTCCCCAAACTCACTACCATCAAGTAGCTCCGACTCAAAGCCACCCTCGGGAACAGGGTAGAACTGCCCTGCGGGGGTGTAAATCTTCAAGGGGAGGAGGAAGCCGCATCTTTCTCCTGCCCAGCAGCTGGTACTTTCAGACCGCTGCCTTTGCAGGTGGTAGCCCCACACATTGCCTACTATGCCACCAGGGTTCTTGTCAAGGCAGATGGAAATTAAAAATCAGATAGAAATGTTTTAGAAGGGAAGCGTCACAGTGTCAGACTCCACCTAAAACCACACCCCCAACCTCCTACGGCAGCTCTGGTGGAGGGGCTGTTACCTAGCCCAGAAAAAGCTTGCTACAAGTCTGTTCAATTTAATGCTTCAAAACCACATGTAACAGACTCCTCAGGTTTTCCTAGTTTTTAAATTTGATGAAGGCCTGTGACATTATTCGGAAACATTAATTGATGGGGGCTGCGTGAACCTTTAAGGAGCCCGGGTGGTGTAGTGGGTTACTAATCTCAAGGTCAGCAGTTCAAACTTACCGAGCACTCCACAGGAGAAAGAGGAAGTCATCTGCTCCCAGAGTTATCGTCTCAGAAACACAGGGCGCAGTTCTACTCTGTCTCCAGGGTCGGAGATGGGATACGAGTCAGATAGCATCAGTGAATTCAACCCAAGGTGACGCTGGTGTCACTGCTGCTCGTGATACAAAGACCGCAGAGGGGACCTCCTTCCCCCACAGCATTTAGACATTGCAAAGGAGCAAATGAGTGGGGAAATGACACTTCTGATGCGCTCATGGCCATTAGAGACCGGAAGCCTTTGTTTGACGCGCGTTCGCAGCCAAGGACATCTCGCTGGGTAAGTGGATGACTGCTCTGCCTGTAGACGCAGTTGAAATGCATTTGCTAATCTCAGATCTAGAGATGGCCCCTGGGAAATCTGCCTTCCTCTCCTATGGCCACCAAAGTCGGCATCATTCTCTGACAGATGCCAAGAACAGTGAGGCCCTTTGTAGACCAAGCAGAGTTGCGCGTGTTAGCTGCATAAATAAGAGGCTCATCACTGATTTCTCTCTTCCTAGGTGCAATCAACAAATATCCACCAGTAAACTTCAAAATAAAATGCAGCCGGCTCCCCTCCACAGATACAAAGCAGCCTCTCCGAGAGTTGCAAAGGTATTGTCTGCTTGATGCTGCTTGATGAATTGCTGTGACTCCCTTCCCTCCTCCTCCTCCACCTCCTCTTCTTTCTTCTCTCCCTCCTCCACATGCATTCTTATCTGTCCTATGCATCTCTAACTACATGATATCAAAATAAGAGGGCGCGAGGGATAACCAACGTGAACAGGTTGATCTGAAAGTCAGCCACGTGGAACTTTATTAAGATGGAAAATCTAATTGCTGAAACAAAACACTCCATGCCAATGGGTCTACTTGGTGACCAGATCTTGGTTTCCCAACACCCTTCCCCCACCAAAAAGAATGAGGACTTCTTGGCCAAACATGCAATTCTAGATTGCAGCAGGCCTAGAGAGAGAGAATGGATCAGTAGTGTCTTGTCAAAAAGGCCATAGGAACTGCGTTGAAAGAATCCCCCACTTGCCTAGTTTTGAACCACTTGAACACGGTAATAGTGACTTGAAAAACACATTGAATCATTTTTAAAACCACAAATCTGTAGGGATACCCAAAAGGGGAGAAGGGGAGGAAATGCCCTTCATTCTAGAATATATTGATAGCTAATACATATACCATCAGACAATCACCCGTTTTAATCTCAACCTAATAACTGAGTCAGGCAGGGCTCGTTTAAGCCTTCAAAAAACCATTGGGCGAAGGGTGGTTTGGAAACAGATCCTTTACACAGCCTCAAAAACCTACTTGCATCTTACTTATTGACTACAAAGAGGAAAATGTTCCTGGCAGTACCCAACTCTGGCTTCATGTACCCTCTGGTGTGATGGAAAAGCCTGGTGCCACTGTGGTGCAAGCGTTCAGCTGCTATCCACGAATCAGTGGTTCAAATCCATCAGCCACTCTCCTGGAGAAAGATGTGCCATTGTGCGGCTGTAAAGAATACAGCCTTGAGACGCCTATGGGACAGTTCTACTCTGTCCTGTAAGGTCACCGTGCATCAAAATCAACTTGACGGAATCCATTTGAGTGGGTTTGGTCTGGTCTTTTCTCACGGGATGCAGTGAGAGAACAAGATCTATGTGAAGTTCATGCAGGAAATAGTTGACCCACGTCTACTAATGAGGAAGCAGTTGGACAATTCCCCGATGTGGCATGTTCTTCAGAACAACTGGTCTGTACTCTTCATAAGGTTGAATGTCATAAGTAACAGAGAAATGTGGAATTTGGTTGTAGCACGGCTGAGACATTGCATCCAAATGTAATTATGTGAAGCTTGACTGGATTCTAAATCAGAAAAAAGGGCCTAATCGAATGGGCATTGGGGGACAGCTGAGGAACGTGAGTGGGAGCAATAAGTTGGATAAGATTGAGTTCACTGACTTTCTTGTGTGTCGTAACAGTATTATGGTTATATAAGAGAACGTCCTTATTCTGGGGAGGGACATTCTGAGGTATGCAGAATGATACGTCTGATGGTGGCAGCCTATTTTCAATGGATTTCCCTAAAATGAAGTAGGACAGTGCATAAGTATGTGCATGTACATATATCTACATATGTGTATATGTAAATGCATCTAGGAAGACAGAAAGTTGTAAATCGTTGAGAATGTGGGTGAAAAGTGTTCAGACATTCATGGCTCTTTTGCTTTTTCCAATATTCTTTAAGTGTAACAATTTTCAAATTAAAAATTAACTTGGTAAAACTTACTGGATAGGTTAACCCGAATAATAGACACACATGAAGAGAAATATAGTCAACAGGAAAATAAAGCTGAGGAAATTACTCAGAATGCATAGATGACAAAGATGCGATATTTAGAGACAGAACAGGACAAAAATGTCTGACCTATATCTAATTGGACTTTAGAAAGATATCATCGAAATACTGAATGAGAGGCAAAATTCAGAGATAAAGGGATGCTAATCTTCCACCATTTACATGAGATCTGAGTTCACACACGAAGGAAGCACAAGGTTGAACAGTGTGTTTGGCTGGGTTCTCCAGAGAAACAAAACCAGTGGCACTCACATCGATAAGAGAGCACAATAGATCAAGAAGGCATTGCAGCCCGGTCCAACTCAAATCCATGAGCCAGAAGTTAGCCTCAGCCCCCTTCAGACTCACCTGGTGACAGGTCAATGACTCAGAAAGGTGATTCAAGAAGCCGAGTGATCACAGGCAGTGATCAGAGTAGTGTGGACCCAAGGTCATTGGGAGCATGGCAGGGCCCCCCCAGCTCCCAGCTCAGTGGTCCACATGGGGCCACCCCTGGAGGCAGATGCGGATGGCGGTTCCCAGGTCTTTCTTATCATTAGGCCACACCCCCAAGGAGGCATCATCAGGCTGCGACTTGATGAATAGGTTGAGCCCCACCCCTACACTCTCATCCAAGTACAAGTTGACCTAAAATCTAACTGCCACCAACAGGTGGGATTAAGTGAAAAAAGAAAGCAACAGTTAGACACCACCACTTGTCCATCCGTTTGTCATACTGTGGTGGCTCACATGCGGTGCTGGAAGCGATGTCACCCATTTTCCAAATAGGGGCAGCGTCACCCAAGGTGAACAGGTTTCCATGGAAGTTCCAAACTAAGAACAGACAACAGAGACTGAATAGGCTGTCCATTTCTGAGGGTTTAACTGCTGAAAACCTTATGATATTGTACCCAAAGATGAGCCCCTCAGAAGGCACTCAAAACATGCCTGAGAATGAGCTGCCTTCTCAGAGTAGAGTGGATCATAGCGACAAGGCTGGAGTCAAGCTTTGGGGACCTTCATTTCTGATGGAACAGAGCTCAAAATTAACTAGTGCCCACACACACACACACACACACACACACACACGGTTATAGACCACGATCTCTTATGAATGTAAGGGCAAAAACAGTCAACAAAATACTTCTAAACTGTATCTCACAGCAATAGAAAAGAATTATATAACCATGTCCAAGTGTGCATGCAACGATTGTTCAACATACGAAAAATCAAAGTAATACACCACCATCAATGAAGGGGGCGGGCATGATCATCTTATTTGACACAGAGAAGGCATCTGACAAAATCCAACAGCATTTCATGCAACAACAACAATGATAACGAAAAGTCAGCAAACTAGGCGTAGAAGGGAACTTCTTCAGAGAGGTAGAGTATTTATAGAAAGCCCCCCAGTACTGCCAGGAAACCCTAAGGAGCAGCGTTCTCCTCTGAAACACAAGAGTCCGCATAAGCCAGACACAGCTCTGTGCCACTGCTATTCAAAGGCAGAGGAATTAGATGAGAGGAAATAAAGGGCTTCTGAGGAAAGGCAGAAGTAGAACTATCTCTGTTCTCGGATACGCGTGACCCTATACATATACAAAACCCCAAAGAAACCACAGTAGAGCTACTATATTTAATAACATACTTAACACGGCTGAAGGAGATAAGATTAACACCCCCCAAACTAGTTGTGTTTCTATACCCAAGCAATGATCCATCTGAAAAAGCAATTACCACAGCATCTAAAACATACAGGAATAAATATCAGCAGGAAGGAGAGCAATGTGTTCACTTAAAACTCTGAAGTGTTTTGAAAACAAATTAAAGAAAACATAAGTGCAAAGAGGACTTGTGTTTGTGAATTGGAAATTGTAATATTGTTAATAGGTTCAACACAATCCCTATCAAAATTCCAACAGCTTTCCTTGCAGAAATGGAAAAGTTGATCCTCATACTTAGGTAAAACTACCAGGGGCCCTGAATAGCCAGTGCAGATTTGAATAAGCAATGAAAAGCGGATATACTCCTACACTCTGACTTTAAAATGTCCTATAGGGCTACTTGAAGCAAAACACTGTGGACTAGGATCAGACTAGATGTGTAGGCCACTGGAATGGACTTGACAAAGTCCGTTTCTTTTCAACAACGAGCCCTGTGCCCTTAACGGAGAAAGAATAGCTTCTTCAATACATGATGCTGAAACAATCGGATCCTCATAGGCGAAGAATGAATCTGAACCTCTACCTTATCGCATATGTGAAAATTAATTCAAAATACTTCAGTGACCAAGGTATAAGAGTTAAAACCACAAAAAAGTATTACAAGGAAACAGAGGCAAATCTTAAGGTCCTTCAAATTTGGCAACAGATTCCCAGATATCACAGAAACAACTGTGCAACGAAAGAACAAGTAACTATGCTGAACTTCATCAAAATCGAAAACTTTCGCTTATCAAAAGCTATTATCAAGAAAGTGAAAAGACAGGGAATGGGAGAAAATATTCAGAAATCCTATTTCTAATAAGGGGCTATTATCCATAACCTAGAAAGAACTTCTACAATTCAACAGCATCAAATCAACCCAATTAAAAACATATTTAAAGACTTCATTAGTCACTTCTCCAAAGAAAGACAAGCGGCTAATAAGCACATTAAAGATATCAACATCATAGTGGGACAGGAGGAGAATCAAGGGAAATAGAGGAAAGAGCTGGGAGGCAAAGGGTATTTATAGAGCTCTAGATAAAGACATGTACATATAC